AAAAAAATCAAGGCTAAGAACTGTAATATATTGCTCACGTTTTTCATCCTGTTCGTCTTCATCAATCCATTTGTCCCAATCAACTTTTATAAACACAGGTGGTTTTCCCTCCTGCTTCAGAAGCCTACTCCACCATTTACTCTCTGCCTTCTTTACAAGATAGCATATGTTCCTAGACATAAAACTAGCCTTGCTCTCCTGAGATCATCGACTTACATGATAGTTAGCTATAATCGACTTACATAATAGTTATCTTCCATTCATTGCAATGACCGAAAAATATACAACATTATAAATCAGGGAAAAAAGGGAAAAGTATGAAAGAATTGAAAGTCATAATTCCAACACTTACATTGACATCAACCTTGTCATAGAGGTCAATATCTATCTCATAGGGCACGTTATTGGCGCCACTGGTAGCAGAAAAGAAAAATTTTCCTTCTGGTTCCAGATTAAGCTTCACATTTTTTGCATCAGGTAGCTCAACAGTAATGAACAGCTTGTCTGATCTTTGGGCCCACTTAATAAGGGGATGTCGGCTGGGGTCAAATTTCAAAAAAAACTCAAGAGTAAATAAGCATTATAGAGCATGTTACTATTCTGACATTTGGCCTTCAATCATTATGAGCAATGATCGGATACTAAGTAATATGTAAATACTAGATAGTATAATTTAAATAAATTAGACTATATATTTAAATAAATGCAAATAACAGGATAAATATTAAGATTGTAATTTGATCAAAAAGTTCAGAGAAATGGCTTACTCTCGATAACCTTTACCACAAGAAGACATATTATGAAAGGTGTGAAAAAAATAATAATAATAAAAAATCCTTCAATTTATTTATCAGCAGCATCAAATCTGGAGAGCAGGGAAAACTTAAGGACTAGCATTTTTGTTACTACTTAGCTTAAAGAATATCCCAATTCCCGACATCAATAGACCTATGAAAAAGATTCAATTTGCAAACAAGTTTCAAACTGAAATTGTTTTATCAAATTCTTTCCATGGTTCCCTTCTCATCCTTATTCATCCCTTTCTTCACACATCGTGCTAGGGAATTGTTGAAGACATGGCATGATCTTCAGCACTTAAAACTGAAGATCATGTGATTAGTATTTAATGGGTTTTTTATTGGAAAAACTGTCTCTAAAACAAGGGAAAATGAGTTCAACCGCAGATGTAACAGCTGTAGCATACTGGAATTTAAGTTTTATTGTAATTTCGAGTGAAATTAAATCCATATGTACAGCTCATACTGAGCTCACTTAAACAATACAAAGTTAGTAAACACAATAAATGGCACCCAACATTAAGCCCTTAAAAGGTAATGATAAGAATTCACAGTGAACTCTAGCGATAGCACTTCCCAAAAAAGGAAACTCAGCAGTTAGGCTAACAAATCTTATAGGTTAGCGGATGCCACTTCAATTTTGCAGCAAAACGGCAGGTTAGGACATATGGTTCCTCGTTTACATTCTTCAATCATTCTGCAAGTACAGCTCTGGGTAATAATTGGATTTCACAACTTACAACAAAAGATGCTAATAACCCAATCAAAAAACAATTCTTAGAATTGAGTTATAGCATCGTCTACCTAACAAATCACCTTCTGTATCCACCTAATTACAAACCTTGCTTCCTCTCCTAAACCATTTTAAACAATAGGAAATCACCTTTTGTATCCACCTAATTACAAACCTTGCTTCCTCTCCTAAACCATTTTAAACAATAGGATTCTGTTAACACGATCGTAGCATAAGAAATTCAAGTAAATTATTTCATTTCTGCTCTAATGCTTTTACATTGCCCACAAATTAACGTAGAACTTGACTGTAACGTATAGTAATCAACAACTCCAAATTTTAGAACCGTTCATTACCATTTAGCAATTTACTTGACTAGATCGTGTTAGAATAAAAAAGAGGTAAGGGATAAAATTCCACATCGAATAAAATGAAATCATAACCTAATTTATAAAGGTTTGGGTTGCTACTCTTAATAAAGTTGACATTTTAAAACTCAGCATTAACTATGGGCCAATTCAAATTTCAAGTTTTAAGTTTCAGAATTCAAAACTTAGGTGTTAAATAAATAATTAAATATATTATATTAATTAAATATATTAAGATCACAATTATACAATTAATTGTCACAGGTGTGTTCTTATAAGTCACAATTTATTTATTAGTCACATATTATCAAATTAATTGATACAGATTATTTGATAGTCACGATAAAAAATATTGATAGGTCTCAAATTAAAAAAAAAAAAAAA